AAAAAAAAAAATTTTACAAGCCATTATATCTACAATACAAAACGAATATTTTTTTCAAAAAAAACTTTTAGATAAGTTAAAAATAAAATCCACATTCAATACTATTTCGAAACAAGCATCTTTGTATATGTCTGTAAGTAATAGTAAAGGAATGCAAAAAAAAAAAAACAAAAAAAAAAACAACAAATTCGTCGATTCTAAGGGAGTTGAGATTGAACTGGTAATAGAAATATGTATTTAAATTTAACTTTTAATTTAAACAAAGATAAATCTAACTAAAAGTAACACGTTTTTGACGTTAAGTAATGTGATATAATACATTATAGTTAGAACTAATTTTAAATTTCTAGGCGAAAGTAGTAAATGTAGCCACGGCTCTGCCAAGTTTTTGTTTACAGTAGAAAATTGAGAAGACAGAGCTGAGAGAATGAAAGAAAAATAAATATTTAACTACATTAAATTTAAATTAAATAAGGTCAAATCAAGAATAAGAAACCACGAGTTATATTAATTAGAATGTAATTAAAATGCCACAAGTTAGAAATATTTTTTTTCTTTGTCAGAATTAAAAAAAAATTCCATCGCACTCCAAACTGACGACCCTTTGGATGTAGTACATGTATTGTAGTAGTAGTACTAAATAAAGGCCGCCATTTTTATATACATTCAGCAGCACATTAGCAAAGAAGGGGTCTTGTTTGCCCAACTTAGGCCAGTAAACAGAGACAATAAAATCAAATCACATGACAAGTTTAATTTTAACTTTACACAACAGCGACATATAAATCAACAAATCTAGATGAGAATAATTAATTTACACGTAAAATAGGTTTCTTCTAAAGAGCATAATTGTCAACTACAGCATAAAACTGAAAACTAAAACAGATAAAATAAAAAATAATTATGAAATTTATAGATTAATTAATATGACTCAAAATTAAAATACCAAAAACAGGTAGAATAGACTGAAAAGCGGAGTGGGGGCTTTTTAAAAACTTAAAAGAAAGAACAACACTTTTCAAATAAAATTGAAAAACAAGGCACAAGGCATCTTTCAATATTTCCGGGAAAAGAAAGAAAAGATCATATTTCATTTCCCGATTATTTTTTATTAAAACAGAAATTTAAATCGCGTTGAATATGAAGGACAAAAGTTAAGTCAGTGGTGACACAATTAAATCCATGGTGTCGGTATCTTCACCTAGTTTTCTTTTTAAATTGAGCAAAATATTGGTTCGGGATACCAACAAGAAGATAAAACGCTTAAGAAAACTTTATTATTTCATTACAATCACAAGGCTCTTAGTCTTGTACATAACTTGATGCTAATTTAAAAAAAATAAATAAACGTTACTAATTTTGACACTTATTTTTAATCTTCTATAAGTTTTTTTACAACCGATATTCCGGCTAAATAAATGTCTCAAGTTGTGATATATATATAAAAAATTCAAATATCTAAATCAGAGTCTGTAGATGGAGAGGTGCGACTATTGGTCTAACAAACTTAGTGGTGTGGGAATACCTCTCTACAAAAGTGTAGATAAAAGATAAACTGATAGGATTGTTCGGTACACATTTAAGACCAACAGTAAAAACGAATAAATGAAATAAGTAGAAAAATTGACCCGGGTATGTGCTCAAAACTTGAGGGGGCGGAATGGAGGGCAGCATAAGCATAATAAGTAGTAGACAGAAGAGGAAAAGTAGCGCCAGACCGAGTGTCTGCAACGATAGAGATAGAGAAAAGAAAATATCTTTCTTTCTCCTACCCTCTGTGTCTAACTAATGCTGTTTAACCCAGCTACATTCGTCGTCAGCAAAGGCGACCGACGATTTTTGCTCTCCTTGCCCCTCCAATGCCGCCGTCGACTCTGCAGGGAAGAGAAAGAGGAGACATAAGGGAGAGAAAAAAAAAGACGGGGTGGGGGGAGAGGATCCTTATTCTAAACTACCATCATCGCACATAGCTATACATACGTTCATACGCATACTAACAACTGATTACGTACGTAGAGGAAAAGTATTTATAAACAGTAAACACTAAAAAAAAAAAAAACACCACATTCATACGAAGCGTGTCTTTTTACACAATACAGATGGAAGTAAAATAAGTGATCAAGAGCAACATTCCTATTATTGGCAAAATTGGGATATTGTTTAAAAAAAAAAAAAAATACCTACAATTCACGTTCATTTAAACTTAGATCGCACGTCTTAATCCAGTATTAAATACTTCTACGTAGCATTCATTTTTTGGTGTATAAAATATTCGGAGTTTGTGTCTGTGCATTTTACTACAGTACACGTGGAAAATAGACTAACCAAACCGTATAAATCATCTATGTAATAGTAACACCCCATGGACACTCTAAATATAAAATACTAGTGGTGAAGGCGCTATTGAGAGAGAGAGAGAGAGAGAGAGACTAGTCTTCTCCATTTGTGTATGAGGCTCACTCGAATCAGTTCACTCGCCCCAGAGTGGAAGTACCCACCGTCGGGCCGCCGCCATCAAGGCGTCGGAACGACCGCACCAGTGGAAGAAGGAAGAGGAGAGAGAGAGAGAGAAAAGGAAAGATATATATAGTGAAGGAGTTTTAGCGAGAAAGTGATGCATCAGGACAGAGTATAGGCGAATAGGGTAAGAAAGAGTATGTCTATAATTCCTAGTGTACACTGTAAGAAAAACGAATTAAAACTCTCTACAGTTTTTTAAACAATGTTATGAATAGTACACGTTTTACTGGAATAAAAATAACGACTGGGACATTACGCAAGTTGACAAGCGACGGCAATGCTTAAATGTGTAAGAATATAACTAAAGTCACCAAAGTGACATTGGTCCATGCATCACACCACAGGTTTAATTTGTAGACTAATAGATGAGGGAATACGAAGAAATACATGCGAACAGGCTGGTGCCTTGACAAGCAAATAAGCAACGAGATGAAATCGAACTTAGTATTTTGGAAAACTTATATTCATTACTTGGAAAACTATTAAAATAAAAAACATTACTTTTTAGTTTTTAAAATATGAATCAATACCTCTAGCAGTGAAAAAATGTTATGGTTTTTTACAAGTGTACCGCAATGAAATGATGTAAGCTTGTGTGAATGAATGTTTTTGTTTAACTTTAATAATTTATGAAAATATTAAAATACATCAGATCGAATGTATAAAAAAAAGCAAATACTGTCAATGGTTGACAAATTAAGGGAGTGTATTGGTTCAAGATAGAAAAACAAGTGAAAAAGGGGCAATGGCAACAATTGTAGATTAGCAGCAGGTGTATGACTGCGGGAGAGACAAGTGAATATTGGGTTTTAAAATTGTTTATATATTGAATGGAAAAGATGAGAAGAGGATAATGAAGCAAGCACAAGAATGTTGGTGAGTGGTGGAGTGAACAAGTGCATAGATGTGGGCAGAAGGGGTCAACTAGTGCACTTATGTAGGTGACACCGACGTACAGCAGGTGTTACAATTGAATAATACTAATAAGTTTTCTTTTTACAATAACAAGAGGAATAAGAAAGTTGATTGTCATTCTTAACTGGCAAGATTTAGGTTGCTGACCGAAGAATACCGAGAAATGGCAAGTATAAATAAAGAATTGTAAATTTGGAAGTTTTACTGATGAGGATAAACAAACTAAAAAATCGATGGTAAACACGAAACTGATTGATAAACAAAATTATGCAATAGTTTTTTTTCTTCTTCGTTAGAGATCGTAACTAACGTAACATAAACTAGTTAGTAGCACTACTACTTTTACATCAATTAAGGATTGGTAGCCTAGTGATGGTACGAAGTAGTAGTCACCTAGTTTAGTAATAGTTGCAGTTTTATTTATTTTTTTTAAAAGTGGCCGATGTGAAGTAAGCATGACAGTTTGAAAAGAAAAGGAGTTTATAGAGAAAGTGTTATCTAGTTTAAAAGCTTAAACTTGTGGCCATCCTTTTTAGATAATATTTATGTAAGAAAACTTAATTGTCGACTACAAATTTCAATTAGAATATTTTTTGAAACTTTTCAGTTTTTATTCACAATAGCAAACAAAAAAAAGAGAATATGCGATTAAGATACAAGTGAAGTCAAATGGATTGTTTAAATAAATGCTGAACAATATGATCCAATTTTTTTCCAACTGTTACATTTCCAAATAACCAAATTATGAATTTTGTAGATTTATAAATCCGTGTACATTATAAAAATTAAGGAAACGTGCGAAGATCATCTTCAAATAGACAGACGCACGGAAAAAGTCTATAGTAAAAATGTATAAGCCAATAAAAAAAAAAAAAAATAAACAAAAAAAAACCCCAGTAAATATCGCCGTTCACTGGTCAGAAGAGAGCATCCGTTTGTATATACTGTCTTGTCAATGAGGGATAACTGTGGGGGAGCCAAGGCTCCATACAAAACGACGACTACTACAACACTACCACCGAGTGGAGACGAAATGTCTACACATCTATAACTGACACCGTGGCGCTGTTGGTAGTGGTGTTTACAAATGCTAGAAGAAGGAGGGAGAAAAGAGACAAGTAAACATAGAGGGAGGGAGAAAACGAGAGAAACTAGAATCACAGAAGGGGAGGAAATGGAAAGAGCAACATGAAAAACAATCATAAAAAATAAATAAATAAAATAAAAAAGACCAGACTTGCGGGATAGAGCATATATATAGAAAAATAAAATAAAAGAGATAGAAAGAAAAACTGCACATTAATATTACGGTGTACAAGTTGATATAAAGTTAAGGGAAAAAAATAAAGCGAACCATAGAAGAGACTGGTAAAAGTAGTGGACATGACGGTATTTCGAGAACCTATCGACCGCCTTAGCATAGAGAGACATGTGTCGGATGGGATCCCAGCGAAGCTAAAATACAAAATTGACACGCATTCGAGATATAGACGAAAAGGAAAGGTAGAAAAATCATCGACATATATGACGTTTATATTATGTATATTTATCGAGATTAACCTTACCGGCCAAAACCTATGCTGCCAGCTACAACTCCAGCGACCTCTGTTGGTGTCTGACTGAAGCAACAAACTCTCTCACTAGAAAGTAGCGAGAAGGATGATGTGAGATGAGGGGGGAGCACACAACAACATGAAAAAACAGAGAGTGAAGGGGAGATAGCGCTGGTTGGTTGCTGTGTGACACGCTTGTGACCAAAGCGACATCTACCAGTCCGCCGGACGAAACTAAGGGCAGATCATTCATTACTACTCAATCTCATTTAAAAACGATGTTTATTGACAGTCTTACTTTTTAAAAATCCCTAAAATGAAATTTAACGTATTTAAAAGAATTAAAGCCTTTGAACTTTTGGCATCTTTTAACATTATTTTTCTCTTTTAGTTGTTACTATTTCATATATATTTAATAAATGAGAGCGAAGAAAAGTTTCTAAAACAGTGGTTCTGAACTTTTTTTGAGCCATGCCCCTTTTTCACCATTAACGAACGAACCCCTTTCAAGATTATCTGACTCAAACGATGCATTGTAGTTCGTAGAAAAACAAGTATTTCTTTCAACAGTTTAAGCGTGCAATTTTTGTAGTCCCAGTTTACCCCTAGGCTAAAACCCTTGAGATTTCTCCTCTGATTGAGAACCACAGTTCTAAAATTTATTAAAAAATAAAATGTACGTGTTACTTACTAGTTACTTTTTTTTACTTCTAGTTAGTAGAGTACTTAGTTTTTTTTTCTTAAGTTAAGTATCTCGGAAATGTTTTAAATTCGTTATTCCATTTATCATTTATGTATTGTAATCATTTAATCTTTAAAAAAAAATCTCATTTCCAAAATAAAAAAAAAAAACAAAAACACTGTTCTCGTAGATTCACTGAAGCTAAGCAACCTTGAGCCTGGTCAGTACCTAAATGGGCGACTGCTTGGGAATACCAGGTACTGTAATCTTGGATATGTTGGCGGTGTAACGGCTCGAAATTGGAAATGGGAGAGCCGAGTTCCAATTCCAGTCGAGTTCGTTATATTCACTTATGCCTAAATACCCCCGAGAAAGGTATGAATCCCCCTCTTCTCCCGCATCTTGTATCTCTGTAAATCATTATTATATTAGCTAAAAAAAAAAAAAAAAAACTAACATTCTAAACAATATTTCCTTGTTTTAAATAACCTACAAAATATTTACAAATATTTTGTAGGTTATAAAAAAAACAATCAATCAACAAAGAAATAAAATACACAGGAATAATGAGACATCAGATGAAATTTTTTTTATTTACTGTTTGTTTCGTTTTTTTCCAGAAAATCACTAACCTTATTCAATAATGTTCAATTGAGATTGCTTAATCATAATTGGACATGATGCTATAATGATGCTAGAAATATTTTTCCTAAAACAAAAATTTTATACAACCATCAATTTGTTAAAAAAAAACAACTTTTGTAACCTTCCAAAATGGATTTCAGTGAATAGAAATTTTGTGTGTGTGTATAAATGAACATTATATTTACATATGCTCTATCTCTGATATTGAGCACTTTATCCCATAAATATAGCATACCTTAAAACTATATTTCTTCATTATATATATATATATACTAGCAGCATGGCCCGGCGTTGCCCATGCTTGATTCAAAAATCGAACGACTCATACAGCAATCGCTATCACTTGACTTAAAATATTTTTGCCCTTCCTTGCCTTTAAAGGAGTGCCCTTTGCTGTGCTAATGTTGCTACATGCCTTACTTTTTGCCTATCTCACACTGCGAATTTTTTCTAAGCTCTATACTAAACATTAAATCTGTTATGGAAAAAGAACTAAACAAAATGAACACAAAACGATCAGCTTTAAAAAAAGAATTTGTAACTGGAAAAAAACGAATGAAAAAAGAATGTTAACAACAAATACTTTTTCACACCCAACTCAGTTCTGCAGAATCAGAATCAATGTTGAGTTTAAGCAATTGAGCCAATTGGAGTAAAGTGCCATGCAGATTTAAATTTTTCCCACTTGTGACGAATGCAGCTATCGATTTTTTTTGCATGCTAGCATGCTAGTTAACATTTGTGTCAGTCAGCTGTTGGCTCTCACGCTGGCCAATAGAATCTTCCTGCCTATTCGTGGCAGCCAGCTATAGGCTCTCACTCTGGCCAGTAGAAAATGGCCGCAAACGACAGGAAAACTGCCGTAGAAGCATGAAAAAATCGATTATTTCCACTATCAATGGGAGTTGGGAAATGCAAAGTCAGTCTTGGCCTTCCCGCTAACTTGGAGCATGTGCATATAAATTTTGGTGCAAATCCGTTGAAAATTGCAGCCGTGCATACACACACACACACACACACACACACACACACACACACACACACACACACACACACACACATCCTTTTTTATATATATATATATATATATATATATACATAATCATTTCACCACAAGCAAGGCAATAAAGCCACTAAAACACAAGGGGGTTACTGAGTGTGAGAGAATTGTGTGAAACTGATCCAATTAATCTCTTTCCAACCGACAAGGTGTCTCCATACAAGCAACACCGTGTTCAAAAAACAAACTCAACTATACTCTCTCATGACATGATTTTTATGCCCAGCTGATCTTGCAAAAAAATTTGCATACATTCTCCCATTCTTGTGAATTCTCCTTGCTCTGAGACCGTGTCTTTCTTAAGTTAAAGTGTCAGAGTGGCCATATTTTTTTTTCCTTTCCTTCACTCGTTTTGCACGCCAGGCATATATGTGCTCATTTTACCACATGGTAAGTTGTCTTCTCTTCTGCACTCCTTCCTGATCTCCCGATCACATAAATAACACAGAGATGGTGGTTGCCTTCGTTGAGTGCTTCTATGTAAAGGTGGATGGGCTCTGCATGTCTTTTCTGCATTTGTGCCCACTTGGTCTCCTTTATTATTGGCATCATCATTGTTGTATCCAGCATCTGTTTCCACTGGTTCCGTAGATAAATAATCTGGTCCTGTGATGAAAACAGCAATGAATCTGAGTTGCTTTCAGACCACATATCATTGACGTCATCTTTCAACAATGCAGATCTCTGATGTGGACAGAGGTCTCTGATATGGCATGGCCTTCCATTGTTGGGAACTGAATGTGGGCTGTAGACCCCTGTCACTGTCCCTTTTTTGAATTGTGTCGAACATCAACCATGTGGGTTCTTTACTAATACCGCATCTCCTGCTCTGTAGATTCCAGGATCTGAGTGTTCAAGTGGTGGTGCAACATTGACACCCTTTATGCGGGCTTGATAGTTGAATATAGAGTTAGCTGGTGCCGATGAAGCTGTTGTGTCATTTTTTGGCATCACGTTATACCAATATAATGCCTAATGCCTCCATAATGGGACATCCTGACTGAGCAGTGATACGCTTGATAGTGCAATAGCATCTCTTCACATTGTCATTCCCTGATGCTTGATAGGGACACTGGAATCTAAGTCGGATGTCCCAGTTCTCAGCAAACCCTGTGAATACCTCCCCACAGAATGCCACACCATTGTTGATGAGCAGTTCAGCAGGTGGCTCTCTCTCACAGAATAGAAACTCCAGCTGTTGGATGATGCTAGCAGCGTTCTGATGTGGTAATAGACGCCAGATGGAAATCTGACTAGGGCCACAGTCAAGTAATGCCAACCTTCATAATGGGTTATGTCCGTTCCCACTCTGCTCCAATTTTTACACACATCTAACTGACCATCTTTCTAATGCACTGATGCTAGGTTGATGCATTGGCACACTTCACACTCTCCAACCACTGTCTGAAGAGATTTGCCACTTTCTACAATGACGCCAGTGGCCAAGAAGCTTGCATCAACCCACATGGTAACTTTGCATCCATCAACACACCAATCACCTTGTACTGGATTCTTCTGTGCCAATCTGGTAATGATGTTTGTCAGCATCCGAGTCAGTGATGGGTTCCACACTTCATCGTCCCAGCCAGTCCTCACAGAGTTTGCACGCTGTTTTATGAATGCAGTTGTGACGTGAAGCCAGCCACATACTGGCAAATGTCCAGTCAACTTCTCACACAGGGAAGAGATGCTCCGACGAGTGAGCACATTAGGTAACGGTGGGAGGTCACTCCTGCAATTCCATTGCACTTTGTGTTCCTCCTCCCAGACACATGATCCCAGCATACAGGTGCCATTCTCTAAACAATCTGGATCCTTACTGGTAGGTCTGAATTGCTGAATATGTGCCCTTACACATGCCACAGTGCATATACTCTCATTGACAAACATGTTATTGATGTACAAGGATGTGGCCCTCTGCACGACCTTGTCCTGTGCAACCATGGCATTCACAATTGAGTGGTGCCACGTTGAGCCCAAAACCCAAACCCCAAACAGGTGAGTCAATATATTTGCTCATCTATCAGCATTGTTTGAAAGGGCCACAACAATTTGTCAATGTGGATTGCAAATAGGCACTGCACAAATACAGTACCATGATATTCGATCCTTCCAGTCACCACTCCTTCAATTTTTGTACGCAAACATCAGCATCAGCAGTGTGCATGTCCACATGCTGATTGAGATCCCGATAATCCATGACCAGTTGGACCTTCTGTTTGTTTTCCTGCAGCACAGCCATTACAGGGATCAGGCCCTTGGGAGGCCCAAGTTCTTCCTTGGATATGGAAATAGCCAGCCATTATGCATCCAAGTTCGTAGCTGACAAGTATACTCCTCCCTGAGCAGCTTTGGTACTATATATTCAGCTGCCCGGTTCTTCAATGAGGGTGGTGTCTGGTCACCAGACCACTTCCAAGAAACGACCCAGATTTTCTTGTTCTGGTCATACTCTGCATGGAAATCGATTTCGTTGATGGTGATGGCCCCACACAAAGGTTGGTCAAAAGGAAAGGTCACAGTCACATCACTGGACACACATGCTCCTCCCAACTTCTTGATGATGTCAAATCCAAGCTGCAGCTATTCCAGAGCACTTGAGGGTCCTTTCATCAACAGTGAGCATGTCTACTTCTTTCCTCTTCCAAGAGCAATAAAGCGGTCTGCCTGTGAGCAATCAAGAACAGCCTATGTCTAGCAAGGCTAAACTCTTGATTCCATTGATGCATACAGCAATTGTGGGTAGTGCCTCTGTATGGAGCTTGGGGAGTAGACTAGTGCTGAGGCCTATTTCCCTGGATTGTTCCCCAGGCAATTGCAGACTACATGGCCTACCGTGTTGCACTAGTGACATCACATCCAGGGTGTCCACCTTTTGGTATGCTGTTGTGTTGCAGTCCTTTGCAAAATGATTGGGACCATTGTAATGATAGCATGTTATGGAGCCACATGGGTCCCCAGTAGGAAGTTTTGCACTGCCACAACTGCCAGTCCTTCTTCCAGTACTTCATCTTTCATAATTGCTTGTGCTCAAGTCAATAGCTGGTCGATAGACAAGTTGTTCATCCGAGTTGAAGCACAAAGGAGATGTTTAACTCAGTCTGGTCACCCTTGCATGAATGCACATGCCAGGCCACAGTCACTCATTCTGCCGAACAGGACAGAAAGTTTTTGTAACTCCGCTAGACAGACATCCACTGATTCTCTGGGATGGAGCCATCACTTAGCAAATTGCTCATAAGCCAGAAAACCATCCATAGCAAAAGCTGTGTACAGTGTGGATTTTATATGACTGAAATCCTCTTTTTCTTCCTCTCTCAGCCGCTGGTAGACAGCAAATGCACCATCCATTAGTCTTAAAGAGACCATGTGTTCTGAACATTTACAGACCAGCTCAGCCTTCTCAATCCATTAGATCACAGATGGTACAGATGCAGAGCTGTCAAACTGGGAATAAGTTTGAGTTTAAAGACAAGTTTCATTTCACAATTTTTTAAGAAAGATTGACTCAGTTCAAAAATTTGTCCAGAAATACCATAAGCTTGTGAATAAGATCAATATACCAAACCCTGTCAAATGCCTTTGAGATTCCAAAGCAACAGCCTAAGCTTCATCATTCTTATCTAAAGCTAGATGAACTCTTTCAGCAATAATCATTAATACATTAGCAGTTGACCCAGAGAATCTAAAGCCATATTGCTTATATGAAAAAAAACAAAAAAACATGCAGTGGTGTGCAGAGGTTTGGTGATGTTAAGTGATGCATGGGGCCAACTCTTTGATTGTATGCTCCTAAGACTCAAGTTGGGGTGCTATAGGGCCTAGTACTGAGAAATGTGAGAAAGAAAAAATCATTTTGATTATGTAAAAATAGATGAAACATAAAATACACACTTTATTCAAATCAAATATAAACTAAATTTTTATTTCACTCTTTGATTGGATGACCTCCCAATATAGATGCCCAGGGCTGTTGCATCCTCTGAATCCCTCTGCACACTACTGAGACCATGTGAAGTGATGTGCTTACCCAATTCAAAGTACCTCTAGTACTTTGCTAAAAAGAGGTAAAAGCTGATAATTAGAAAGATCAGATGGTTCCTCTGAGTTCTTAAATAATGACAGAAAAGAATTTCCAACAAGTAGAAATGCAAGAAGCAGCAAGACATTTATTGTAGAGTTTAGAGAGAACAAGAGCTAGTTCAGGAGACATTTCTTAAGGACTATTCATCTTCAGGAATTATGGATTAGTCTTTAACATATAATGGTTCAAATATGTTTGTTTTCAAGTATCCGGCAATACCAAAATTGCATTAAAATGTGCATTGAGGAAATATCTATATTATAATAAGAACATCTCACTTTAAAGAATACTTTTATCTTTATTTTACATATTTTTGATGTTTGCAAGATAGCAAATCATTCACTACTTTTTCTAAAGAAAATGTTAAAAATTGATTTTTCAAATGAGAAAATAGTTTAATATTGATTTTAATTACAAACAATGGAAATTATTATTATATTTTAATAATTATAACTTTCAATAAATATTAAGTTTTCTGAAAAAAATTAATTAATCAAAAAGTATTACTGTATATGTTGACTTTTCTAACAGAAAAAAATAAATTGGTGATATCAATTTGAAGCCTATGATGTAGGCAGCCAAATAGAAATATGGCTGCCTTAATTTGAAAAGTCAATTCATCTGGCAAATATGAGGTGAAACCTGATTTAATACTTTAGAATTTTAAGTGTTAGTTTATTACTGGTATATCCAGTATTTAGAATTATAACTTGATTGAGTTAATATCATTATACTTAACAAACAATTGTTATTTCTATCTGTGTTTTACAAGGCAATATGGATAAGAATATTCTTTCAGTATGAATTTCTGGGATGAAGAGTTATCATTATTAACACTATTTATATGCAGACTATTAAACAACAACAATGATGAGTACAATAGTCCACATGTAAATAAGAATATTATTATTTCTCTAACCTGCAGGCTTGGGAAGTTGTAATGTTTTCTTCTTGGTCATACAGTGGCCTAAGAAAAGTTTTTAGCCAGGAGAAATAAACTACATCCAATTTCAAAATTTAATTACGTAATCCCTATTGAATATAAACAAACAATATTTGGAAGTTGTCTGGTGTAGGTCCTCCATTTACTAGTTTCAGTGCTTGTATTCAATTTGTCATAGATTTGATCAAGTTATCAACAATCGTCTGAGCCATATTTTGCCACTCTTTTAGCAATGTTTCTTTAAGGGTTGCCACTGATGTGATTTTGGTTGCATGCTCTTGAAGTCTTCGGTCAAGGTTCTCCCAAACATGCTCTATTGGATTCATGTCAGGATTTTGGGCTACCCATAGCACTGACTTGATTCCTTCCAGGCTTTTGCTACTTTGCTTTTATGATATAGTGCTCCATCTTCTTGAAAAAGGTAGACATTCTTGTCAATCTGATTGGTTTCAAATAGTGGGAGTAGTCCTTTCTCTAATATTTGATAGTATATTGGACTATTCAACTGCTTGTCAACAAGAATCAACTCAGATTTCCCTCTAAACTAGACAGTGCCCCACACCATTACTCCAATCCCTCCGTGTTTCACAGTAGCCTGCAGAAATTCAGTGTTCCAAGTCTCAT